TAATTTCACTGGTGAGGTTGGTTAATTAGCTATAAACATCATAAACTGAAAGGGTAACATTTTAACTTAATTGGAGGTCTGAACTTCTCCAAATTGCCTTGAGTGAGAGGTCCCCTGCCTAGCTCTGCCCCTTCCCCCCATGCCACTGGACTCTGGGAAAGTCAGAGCAGCAGGATACTAACGCAGTGGGACACTGTGACCCGGGTCAGATGTGGCTTCTGCTTTACTGCACACCAACGATCAAGAGAAAAAAGAGGGATTTGCCGTATAAATCCTTTCAGAGATTCCAGTTCATCTTTCACCCCCAACACAAGCCCTGGGAGTCCAGCATGATGTGGGTTCATAGGGCACACCCAAGCCATGTCTCCAGAAGATGCTTCCTAGGACTAGTTCAACAGGCCCCCCATGTACACCTGAGGGCAGGGAAATAACCGTCTGAAGAGGGGTCTGTCATCCAGATAATAGCAGAAATCCTAAGAGGATACAGTCAGACATTCAATCAGGGCAACTGTCGAAGGTAAGTTGTTGATACATGCCGTCGAGTTGATTCTGATTCACAGCAACCTTGTATAGAGTCTCCAAGGCTATAAATCTGTACAAGAGCAGAAAACCTCATTTTCTTCCAAGGAATTGCTGGTGGGTTTGAACTATCAACTTATGGTTAGCAGTTCAGTGTTTAATCTACTGTACAACCAGTACTCCTTGTCAGAGATATCAACACATAGAAAAGACACTGCCAGATAACAGCACAGAACCCTAAAGAAACAGCTCCACACACAGGTAGAGATGTAATGAAGACACTGGGAGAACCAATACCAGACAAAGCCAGAGAAATGGGTAGATACAACCAGAGACACAGCCAGATGCACCACTAAAGAAATGATCCAAGGACAGCTGAGACACCACCAAAGAACCCATCAGGAACATGGTAGAAGATTGAGGCAGACACAGCTAGACACACTACCAAAGAAAGCAAGACACACAGTTGGAGAAATCATCAGAGACGTAGCCAGAAGAGCTAAAGACAGTGTCAGAAACATTGCCAGAGAAACTGTTGGACACACAAGCAGAGAAATACCAGAGAAACCGATAGACACAAATAGGCGTACACTCCAAAAAACAGCTAGAAGAATAGCCAGAGATCCAGCCAGATGTTCAATCAGGAAGGATCTATACAAAAAACACTGCCAGAGGCACTGTCAGACACACAGTCAGACACTCTGTCAGGGACAATGTCAGACACATGTCCAGGGACACGGTCAGATATGTAGCTAGAAATACCATCAGACACAGTTAGACACACTATCAGGGACACTGTCTCTCACACACACACACAGTCACTCTGCCAGAGATACCTCATATACATAGTCAGACACATTGCCAGAGGCATCATCAGACATACTCCATCAGGGACACCATCAGACACACAGTCAGACTCTCTGCCAGGGACACTGTCACACACACGGTCAGAGAAGCTCTCAGGGACACAGCCAGAGAGACACTGTCAGAAATATTGCCAGAGAAATTGCCAGACGTAGTGAAAGAAAACAGCCAGATACACAGCCAGAGAAACTGCCAGAGACACACTGCCAGATACATCCAGAGAAACTGCCAGTGAAATAGCTAGAGACACTGCAGACAGCATTAACAGAGGAGAGAGAAATGTGGGTACCTGGGCCTAGAGCAACTAGAATTTTCTGGGTCCTGCTGGGTAGGGTGGTAGATGGGAGAATCCGATTTCTAGGGCTCCTTGTTGAGCTAGGGCTCCTGCTGGTCTCGTACCCTGCCCCTCTTGGCACAGCTCCTCTCTCTATGCCCCCTCTGGCCTCAGCTACCACTCTCACATCAGTGACTCCTAGGCCTTAGCTGCCCTTTGACCTTCATCCTTCTGATCTCAGCTGATCTCCCCTAACTTCAGCTAGTCCTCAGGCCTAGGAGGTTAAGAAAATGGTCAGAGTCACACAGCTGGCAAATGAACCCAGGAGCGAGTGAATCCAGAGCTGGTGCTGGAAAAAGAAAGGAACTAGAAACCTATTTAGTCTCCCACCTTGACCCCTGCAGGTGGTCCTCAGCCTCTCCCCTACCATCCCTGCCATGTGTCCATCTCTTCTTCCTCACAGTAAGGAATATACCCCACCTCAGTGCCAGTCCCACTGCTCACCACACAGGAGCACAGCCAGGGTCTGCAGAGCCAGAGGAACAAGGCATAGCCTGAGGTTAGGTCCCAGATTGGGAGAGTGATGAAGGGAGAAGGGGAGCCCTCAGCTCCTTCCTGGTCCTGGTCAGGTGGGGCAGGTGAAGGGCTGGCGAGGCATGGGTGTGCATGCATGCAGCAGACACGGTGCACAGGCACACACTCAGGCCCCGCAGGGGGGAGGGGTGACTTCTTCATCAAAGTGGCCTCCATCAGCCCGATGAGTTACTGTAAGGGCTGGGCCCTGGGCCAGCGGGGCTGCAGCCATGGGAGACAAGCGCTGCTGAGCCTGCGGAGGGTGGGGGATGGAGTACCAAACAGACACTGCAGGGTGGGGGGTGCCCAGTTAAGGGAGAGACCCAGGAAGGGGCGGGGGAAGAGAGGCAGGGAGAAGGGGAGAGATATAAGTAGAGACCCAGAGGGACACAGAGAAAGAGATCTGGAGAGATGGCAAGAGGCTACACCAGGAGAGAGAGGCAGGTTCAAAGGCAAGAGCTTGAGACAGACCCAGGCGGTGTGTCTGTGCCCACCCTAGAACATCTCTCTGAGCCCACATAACCCTTCTAGTGTGAGGGTGGGGCCTTGTTCGTACTGGGGCCTTCCTGGCTCTTCCTTGGAGATCCAGAAGCTCAGAACCCAGGGGAGAGGGGTGGGCTGAAACCCCACCCCAGTTCAGTCCCTGATCCTCAGGATCTAGAAAGCCCCAAGTCAGTTTCACTTGCTCTTTCCCTCAAAGTCCCAGCTGGGTGGGTTACCCAGGTATGGAGGCTAAGATCAGAAGCATCCAGGCCCCACCATGGCCCCGCCCTAGCTCACCTCAGGCCACCCACTCCAGGCCAAAGAACATTTCCCCAGGAATTTTCCAACTCCACACCCCATGGCTCTGGAATGCAAACCAGCCCAGCTCCCTGTAGGCCCACCTAGGGAGCCAGCCTGGCCTCTGGCCCCTGCCCAGAATGAAGAAAGAACAGAGGGCACCCCATTAGCAAGAAAGGAGCCCAGTGCCCAACAATCCCTGAATCCTTTGTCGGTACAGGAGCCCGACTCCTCTGCTGACACTGAACCCCACTGTGCCATCCTTACACATACACAGGCAATAGACGCATCTGAGGGCATCAACTGACTGCCATTGTCCCACTGTGACACAAAAGCACAGTGATAACAATACCCAGTAAAAATAACACGCACCGGAGTGACAATGACGCTCAGAGATGTTGACAGTTACCAGAGTGACAATGATGCAGTGACAGTCACATAAAACAGCAGCAACAAACAGGACAATGATATCTGTTGACACAGTCACATAGTCCTAGTCACCTCAGGATAAAAAAATGCAACAAGTCTGACAGTCACATGAATGACACCCACCATGACATCAGTCCACAGTGACACAGGTAGAGTGATACAGTCAGACTCAGTGAAAAAGCCATCACTGAGGCTGGTAGTACCAGCAGCAACACTGACAGGCACAGTGACAAGTTCTAGAACAGGGACCTCAATTACCTACTTTCTGGGGCTAGCGTAAAACCTAGGGCCCAGGATCCCTTTCCTCAGTAAGGCTGAGGACAAAAGCTGAGGAAGGAGAGATGTTAGCTCTGGGAAACCTTTACTTACCCTTGCAAAATCAGAGGGCAGTTATTGGAACAGGACCCTGCCCTGAGGAACTGAGGAATCCCTGCCACAATGGGGGGTGGGGGGGGTGGGGGGTTACAATTGTGAGAGTTGATCTGCAATAGTGTGTTCTGAGCTTCAGTGTGCTGGTTAGTAGGGGTGTGCTGAAGGTCAAGTAGGCTCAATCTGGTCTGGACAAGGAGTGAGCAAGGAGACCCCAGTAAGTGACCTCAAAGTAAAATTACTATCACATTTCCAACACAGGGAAACTGAGGTCCAAAGAAGTTCAGGAACCTGGTCACCCCTAGTGTTAGGGGTAGGAGCAGAACACTCCATTTGACAGAGGGCATTCTGGCCTGGGGCAGGGTCAAGATGACATCTCCATAGCTTCCAGTCCTCCCTTGGCAACCCCAGACCCCAGAATCCCACAGTGTGAGGAAAAATGCACTTCCTTACACCTTTCCCCTCTCCCCTCAGCAATCTTAAAGAGCCCATTCCCAGGAACTAGGCAAGAGCAGGGCACAGCATGGACTAATGTTTCAAAGGCCTCGGGAACTCTAGAGGCCTTAGACCTGCAAAGGAAGTAGGTAGGAGACAGACAAAATGAAAGACAGGGACAAGGACAAGGGTGCAGTGGGCAGAAAGGAACAGCACTGGCCTAG